ATGCACAGCGACCGCAGATTTAAAAGCTTTCACCAACCCCACGCTCTTTGGTTGTGGCTGCTGCTTGCGCTTCAAAGCCAAACAATCAGCGATCACATGCCCTTTCTTGTGACAGTAAAAACATTCATGCTCCTCTTTATTATGAGGTCGACTAAATCTTGAACATGATGTTTGAGATTGTGAACTGTCAATCTGTAACTTTTCAGGACGTGCAGAGGAAACTACATTCTTGTGGGTTAAAACAAACTCATCTGCGAGTACAGCTGCGTGTGATAAAGTAGTTACCTTCTGTTCATTAAGGTATATATACTACTATTCAGATAAACATCCCTTAAACTCCTCTAGCAATATCAACTCTCTTAAAGAGTCAAAATCACTCGCTTTACTGGCAGTGCTCCATTTATCAAACAACACTCCCTTCGCCCTAGCAAATTCCACAAATGTTTGTGTAGGACTCTTTTTGTGTTTTCTAAAACGTTGCCTATAAGCCTCCAGAACCAACTCATATGCTAGCAGGATAGCAGACTTCACAGACTCATATTTCAGACTCTCTTCTAGTGATAACGTAGAACAAACTTCTTGCTCTTTACCAAATAACCTACATTGCAAAAGCAAAGACCAGACCTCCTTAGACCAACGAAGAGAAGTTGCAATGCGTTCAAACGCACTGAAGTAAGTATCTAAATTGAGGAACGAGTGCAATGTGTCTACTCACGTCAAAAGCCTCTGGGGCTAAACCAACCCACGGAGAAGGAGAAGAGGCTTGAGCGGTGTCCGGCTGTACCGCTGAGCCAGTAGCAACTTTCGATGCACCTAGCTCAAGCTGCCTCAGCTTCACCTGCTTCTCTGCCTCGATTTCTAGCTTGCGTACTTCCAAATGCAAATTCAGTTCAGCTTGGTGCGCTTTGGCTCTCTCGTGCGCTTCATAATGCAAACGGGCCAGGCGGACCTTCAGTCGCGTGCCTTCCCGTGAATCAACAGAACTGGGTGAAAACGGCTCAAACGGTGTTAAGCCTGCCTTGGCTTCGACTTCCGCCTACTCGACAGCATCAGCTCCGCCACTCCGCTTGTCCTCCTCCCCAGAACTGAATTGTGACAGAGCCACGCCATCCACGTTAACAACTCCGCCCGTTTTACCACCCCCAACGTTTGACGTAGGCAACGCCTGCAACTCATTCAAACGCAAGATCAGTATTCGTTTTATTTCTTTTTTAAGAGACTGTTTACTTACAACAATCTGAAAATGGTCTGCGATCTGCAATAAATCCTGCTTCCTGCACAAATTAATCTGCTCTACAGATGGACTGGTAACAAAATCTTGCCAGTTAAACACTTCCATAATGAATAACCAACCAATAAGCATAACACTACCACACCACATGAGTAAGTCCTATACTGTCACAATACACCAAACAAGGCAATGTCCTTTTCCTGCCAACACACCCACAAAATTACCACAACCACCATAATTTTGGGATTAATTGATCCCGGACGAGCCCCCATTAAATGAACCCCTCCTTAAAAAAGGAGTAACATTGAGATTGTGGCAAAGCTGTAAAATGATGGAGGCAGCAAGAGACAATGCACCCGCTTACCCCCATTGTAATGCTTGGAGGGGCCAGGACAATTTTTAATATAACTCCGATTGATTCGTCTGAAAGAAGAAAGTCACATACACCTAGGATGCTTCGAGGGTGAGTAAAACACAAGCTAATTTTCATTTTTTGGTGAACTAACCCTTTAAGTACATTATGGAAGTGTACTTTTTTTCACCAGGGATTTGGTTTCTCTTTGAATTAAGTGTTTTTTTCTGACCCCACTGAGATATAGTTTCCTTGTCTTAAGCATAAACTCAATTTTGAAACATTTGGAATCTTAAGTCATTTTGTTTCTCAAATAAATGTATCTTTATTTAAGAATATTTAGATATTTGTACTGGAAACAACAAAAACACCAAGATCATTTTTTGCAGTTACATTAAAAAATACACAAATATCAATTTGACTGTTTTAAATGCGTGTAATCAGCAGGATAATGTAGTCAGCCATATAGAGATGAAGCAGTGAAGCGAAGAAATCCTCATATTCTGCAGGGTTTATGAAGGTAAATGCAAGACTTCTTCAAGACCCTTTTAAGACCAAGTAAAGAAAATGTAAGGAATAAACTGAAGGGAACACAAAACGTCAAGTCTATTCTCCAATGTAAATGTCTAAGAAGAGCACTTGAAAGAACTTCTAACAGATCTCCATTACTTTTTAATTCATTCAAAAAAAGAAAAAGCTTTTCTATTATATGGAAATCATTTTTACCGAACCCTCTGCTTACACTGCAAAAAACTGATGCTCTTTCTCAGCATTTTTTCCTTGTTTTCCAGCACAAATATCTAAATCAAGATGCATCGAGAATCAAAATGACGAGTCGGGTTTTCTGAGAAACTTGATAACAATGAAGTGCGTTTATTAAAACAAGAAAAATCTACTCAATACAGAGGAGAAATACGTCTTTATACCCCTTTGTTTGGCATCTAAATGTGTCTTGATGTAAGGATATTTAGATATTTGTACTGGAAAATATCAAGTCTGTTTAAAATGCATCAAAATTAAGTCTCGTTTAAAATATATCAATGTTTTGCTTTTGAGTTTATGCTTTTATCCAACGTGACTTGAAAATGCTGGAATGAGATGAAGAGATGAGGAAGAGCGTGAGTGTTTTACAGAACATTTCACACTTCTGCACATCCACAGACAAATAAAACAAACTCTCGAACACAAGTGTGATTCTTCTGAACTGGACGACTGTTATTTGATCACTTGCTGTAGTTCCTGCGGGTTCAGACGGACTCTGTTCTCAAGAGCTCACTGGGTTTAATCTCAGTGTAACGAGAGTTTGGCGGATCTGTTGTAAGCAAACACACACACCGGGCTTCAGATGTTCGTGACGGTTTTATTGAGTAAACAAAAGGAGTAGAGCAGTAACATGCAGACAACCAATGCTTGGGAAGTGCGACTACACACAAACTACAAAACAAAGATCATCGATTTCCTGTCAATAAATACACGGGCCGCTCCGAGTGTTCAGCAGGGGTGATGATCCGGCACACGCTTCCTGAAACACACGACACACACAGGTTACAAACAGCACAAACTCTCTGATGCTTGTCCCAGACAGCGCTGAGATGAATGAAGCTGCTCCAGAGCTGGAGCGTTGTCACCTGGGAGCAGCTTTGATGATGTTGTCGACGCGCAGGATCATCTCAGCCGCCTCGGCTGCGCTCAGCAGCACCTGCCTCTTCACCTGGAAGCTCTCGGTGATGCCCAGAGCCGCCATGTCTCCCACCGCGCCCTGGCTCATGTCTGAAAGCACAGGGGTCAGAGGTCAGAGGTCAGAGACTCAGGGCTGATGTCAGCGTGAGTGTGTCTTACCCAGGCCGGAGGTGCTCTTGTTGTCCTGGTGAGCGGCTCTCAGCTGAGACACCAGCTCTGCGCTGTCGTACCCCGCGTTATCAGCGATGATGGTGGGCAGCTGCAACACAAACAGCACACACCTGAGAGCCGCTGGAGCGTGATGCACATAAACCACATGACCAGTCACTCAACACTTACAGCTCTGAACAAGCAGAACCAAGCAGCAAAGCACTGCTTTGTTACGGAATAAAGACACATTGTGAACAAGTCAACGACCGTCACTTCCTTCACTCCTCCATCAATCTTGCATTTTGAATGAACTGGTCGAGTGAATGATTCAATGACTCGTTCATAAAGACCGTCTCTTGCTTCATTCCTGAACGAATCGGTTGTTTTTGAATTAATTGGTTCAGTGAACAATTCAATGACTCGCTCTCTAATAACTGTGGCTGCGTCTTAACGTTTTTCAAAATAAGTACCTATTTCAGAGAGTATGCGAGTTCAGATGCAGTCGTTCATGTGTTTGAATTAATCAACTGAATGAACGATGATACTTGTTTCAATTAGTTATGCATTATATTGTAATTGCAGTGCAAATACCTAAAAGATGATGCATGCATTTAATAAGAAAAAGCCTGCCCTCCTAAGGGTGCAAAAGCCCCTGGAAATCTATATAGAGGAGTGAAATGTCTGTGCTGCTGGTGTGACGTACCATCATCAGGGCTTTAGCGAAGGACTCCATGGCCACGGCCTCTTTCCCTGGCGTGCGGTTGGCCAGATCGGACACGGCTTTAGCCATCAGCATCTCGGAGCAGCCTGAAACACAGACACAGGCGTGTGAGAGTGAGTGTGAGAGAGTGAGAGTGAGTCAGACAGCCGCTGGCGTCCTCACCTCCGCCGAACACGGTGCGTGTCTCTTTGACCGTCTGCGCCAGCACACACAGAGCGTCGTGCAGCGAGCGCTCGGCCTCGTCCAGGATCTGTTGCGTCGCCCCGCGCAGGACGATGGTGCACGCCTCACCTGCACACAGTTACATCAGCGGTTCACAGGAGCGACGTCAAAATCGTGCAGCTCTCCACACAGGTGGGGTTGGTTTGGGCGCACACTCACCCATGTCCACGCCAGAGAAGTGTATGAGCATGTCCTCTCCGATCATGACCTCCTCGATCAGCTTACAGTGGCCGAGCTTCACCAGCTCAGGGTGGTCAAAGGTGGAGGTGATCTCTCCGCCTGAGCACACAAACCAGCAGAATCAACACCTGCACACCGACGAGACTCCTCTGTGCATGCTTACATCATGTATTTTACACTTTGAAACTCAATCTTGTGAGCTTTTGTGCAGGACAAGTGGATTCTTCTGAAGGAGCGAGAGAAAGAGAATTCTGCTTGCCTGATCAGACAATTAACCTGAATAAACATCACACTCGGGAAGCACGGGAAGTTCAGCAAGAATGATTCTGATTTTATTACATTTGGTGTGAATAGCGATTGATAGTGGATAATGAGTTGAGAGAATCTCCTGAAGAAATCAAAACTAATGCACACCTGCACACAGAAGAATCACACTGCGGTAAAGATGTAGCTCTTATATTTATAACATACGTGACGTGACCAGGAGAGTGCAGTTTCCCTGAAAACCAGCACGACTGCAAATTTGACACTGACTTCATGCAAGAGCTCACACGAGTAGTTAATATTAAGTGCTCCACAATACTGTCAACGTTGACTGTTTTTGCTCGATTTGGTTAAAATAGTTCCAAACCCAGATCACAGCAGAACAGTCACGCATCTCTGAGCGACACACAGCGGTGTTTCCTTACTGAATGATTCGTGTGTTAATCATTTGAGTCACATGATTCAGTGACTCATTCACAAAGACAGGCACTCGCTTCATTCTTGACACGTACTCTAGAGCCAAAGACCTGCGGAGACACACGCTAGCGTTAGTTTACTCGCCCTAGTCACGCCTGCGCTCGCGCTCAGAGCCCGCCGTACCTTGATCTTGTCCGTGTCCATGCCGGTGTTGGCGATGAGGATGTTGGCGTTCTCGATCCTCTTGGGCTGGTTGACGCCGATCCTCTTGTCCAGCAGGAAGCCTGTGAGGAGCAGGAAGAGCCGGCTTCATTAACTCACTAACAGCACTGACTGACCGATCAACACAGATCAATCTGCAGAACTGCACGCTGCTTTCCTCAATGCTTCACAAACATTATTATTATTTGAGATAAGAACAAACTAAAAGCAGATCCTTAGTATATATTACTCAGTACACTAATACTCAGAGAAGAGATATGATTTATGCACTATAACTACAGGAAGATTAAAACACCCTTATTAAAAATCATAATACACACCATTCAAAATATTACAATTCTGGCCAATGCTGATCAGATGATCATTGTTTTACAGCTTTTATTTACTATTTTGTCTAAATAAACAATAATAAAACCCCACTAAAACTATATTTTATTTCAATAGAATAATAATAATGGAACTACTAAATACTAATAAGCTAATAAATACTATGACTATTATTATATTCCTGGTATTATTAATATGAAACTACTAATAATAATAATGTTATGCAAATATTAATCTATTGCATTATCAAAATTAAATATCCAGTATATTTATTTGTGAATGCTCATTTTTAAAATACCCTTTCTATGATCTACTGCTCACTTTAAACAGTAATAATTTTTTTTTAAATTATTTAATAAAATATTATTACGGACATACCAATGTTTCCCATTCATGAAGAGACAGTCTAATCTGTTCAGTCAGTTTCATAATAACCAGAAAATATATTAAAACATCTTTAGCGCTGTGTTTGGCACCATTGCTTTGGCAAACGAACTGAAACTGAACGCCCTTATCGAGTCTGTTTGCGCTGCGTGTTTGAAAGTGAAACGCACACTTTTATCTGCTGAAATTACAGTATCAAATTTAAATCAAAAACTGCTCATGCTGTTTGATGTTGAGCGTGCGTGTGCGCTGCAGACCTTCGTCCAGGTAGGAGTCGGTCAGGCTGCCTCCCAGCTTCTTGATGACGTGGATGGCCTCCAGGTTGCCAGATCCCTTGAGTCTGAGCACGGCCTCCATGGCCAGCTTGGAGAAGTGTTCCTTGTGGTGCGTCAGCAGCTTGGAGGAGAGCGTGGTGCGCGCGATGTTCATCAGATCCTGCTGGAACTTCAGCTCGTCGCTCCTGCGGACACAGACGCTCCGCTTCAGCCACCGTCTCTGAGACTCACACACACACACAGACACACTCACTCATACACTCACTCACACACACACACACACACTCTCTCTCTCTCTCTCTCACTCTCTCTCACACACACACACACACACACTCTCTCACACACACACACACACA